AGCATGAAGCGACTAGGAGTATTTCTACTCCCCCCTGGATGGGATGCTAGTCCATCGCAGGGTTACCCCCAGCATTACGTTCGCCGGTACTCATTTATACACCTGGGTGGAGAGAGGCACTGTGAGAGTGAAGTGTCTTGCCCAAGAACACAACACAATATTCCCGGCCAGGGCTCGAACCCGGACCGCTCGATCCGGAGACGAGCGCACTAACCATGAAGCCACCGCGCCTCCCAAAGTAGCAGTAGGCATGGATTAATTATTCTTTAGGCTACAGCTACATTGTCGATATGGGATTATCAAGGAAGAATATCTCTTGTTTTACTCTTTCTAAAAGTATAAGAGACAGACCTACAATAACTACAGTTATACTTGAATAGAAAATCAAAGTAAGAGCAGAAAAACAAACAAAGTTAGAGGTAATCGGATAATCGTTTTTCAAGCTAGACTTGGTGAGTGTCTATTAACGCTTGAATATCTCAGACAAACTACTTGTAACTAATGAGCCAAACACATATTTTCGATTTAACGATTGCATGATGTTTCCTTTGACATCTTAATACACATTCCACTCGTTTAACCATGAAATATTTCCCTCTTTGCTTTTCCAGTGCCTTCTTTCAGCAAAATCGCTTGTTTTGACACATCAAGCAAATTACTGCCCGATGTACTCGGAGATTTCAGGGACCTTGTCAAAGATAATATATTTCAACAGGCTATCAGTGCATGTGCTGAATTGGCGTTTGATAAAAGCTACAAGTTCTTCGCATTAGGATATCATGGTATATGTCGGTCAGGGCCGAATGCACGGCAACAGTATCACAGCAAAAGCTCCGTTAGCGATAAGAACTGTCCGAATGGCATCGGCATCGACAAACGTATTGAGGTCTACACTTTTGGTAAGTCCCATTTGTAGACTGCATTCAAAACTTATTTTATACCATACCATGATAGAAAGCAGTTTTTAATGCATGCCAATCTCTGTCAACTTTATTTACATGTTATGCGTGTTAAGAACTTCGGAACAAATGTAAATGATCTCACCTTCAGAGATATATCAGGCAGTTTATATTTGATCGGTTATACGGCTATTGATTTTTCTGTCTTCTAATTCTTCGTATAGAATTGCTTCCAAAACGGAATCCTCTGGGTTGCTTTAGAGAGAGAAAAAATGACCGACTACTTAAGATCAAGTTCGGGAGTTTTGAGAGCTCGTACAACGCATCAGATCCACACGCGACAGTAGTCAAATGCGCGCACCTGGCGCGCGACAAGGACTACGAATATTTTGCCGTTCAAGACTTTGCTGACTGCTGGACAGATACGAAAATAGTTGACAACTATAACAGATTAGGGAAGGCTCTTCCAGAAAAGTGTGTGGGAGGAGTGGGTGCATCCCACACTAACTTCGTATATCGACTGAGGCCTGCATTTACTGGTCCAAACGTGTGCGACACTTCACCGTGCAAGAATGGAGGAACATGTGTGGTGCATTTCAACGACCCCGATAGATACTACTGTGAGTGCGGCGACTGGTTTATTGGAGAAAACTGTGATGGTAAGTACCACAGCCGACCGCTATAAGTGCTATATGTGCCTCGCTGCTCTTCAGTCCGTTATGGTAAACATTTAATAAGATTCTTAGGCTCGTATCTCTGGTCAAAACTGCACCCATGATAGGCAGCGAACAATTTTAAAATAACACTAGTCAAAGAGACCTTACTGTTTTCATTGAGGGCACGGGCACAAAGTGTGTTAGCTTGATGATTTTATATACGTATTCTCACAAATACTTTTAAAAATACTTGCAAACTGATTGATAAGTTTTACGTTTTACGTTCTTAACTTTCGATAATTTTAGTCTGTGCACAAATTTATAACCCTTCTTTATTTATTTTTATTACTATATTATTTTATTATTTTTATGTCTACGATTAGTTATTTAAGCTAAATACTCAGACACTTAAATATTGTTCATTCATTCTTTCCTTCATCCATCCACTCATTCATTCATTCATTCATTCGTTCATTCATACATTCATTCATATGGATCCAACTAAGGCGCGCGAGAAAGCCGAAATCTTAACCTTTGTCTTGAATGCCTGCCGACATTCTGTTTCCACCACTGACATTAGTACATTTCGAATCACGAAAACGGTGTTTCTTCCATACTTTGACATTAGCTACCACAAAGCTGGACTGAAACAAATGCGATCACAAGCAATACTGAAACTAAATTTTTACGCGCTGCATTTGCATGTGCCGCGTGCAAACCCAAAATGCACGCAATACTATGAACACACATTAACGACTATTTAAGTACCCCCCCCCCGCCCCAAACAAAAAAAGAAAAACAAGTACTCAACGTTCTTTTTGCAACTAGTCCAGTTAACTGTTTACTAACGTTTTTTTTTTCTGTTCCTGGCAAAAAAAAGTTTTTCAAGCTAATTAGGCTGACAATACTTTTTTCTGCACGCTAAAAACGGAAGTCTTTAGATTACATGCTAACAAGTTAGGCCGTGATGCAGATTTTGCTGAGTGTAGGATATAAGAGGTTCTTCATCAACGTCCTTCAACAGTATGAGCTATTATTTTTTGCATCTTTTACAGTTCAAATCTACCCATGTGACAGCAATCCCTGCCAAAATGGCGCAACTTGCAATAATGATGCTAACGACATTTCCAGATACAAGTGTCAGTGCCGAGACTGGTTTACTGGAGTAAACTGTGAAGGTAATCAGTCAATGAAAAACAACCTATCATGATAATGAATAGGAAGGAAACAGCAGCAAACAAACAATGCATGATGACAAGCAAGATAGTTATCTGTTGTCAGTGACACCACTACTGTTATTTATCTGCCGGTTATTTTTATTAACATTACCAGCAATATAATTGCATGCCAATATCTGCTTTACTGTGTTGTCATCGTTTGCATATCTCTTTGAATTGCACCATTTATGAGCCCTGGAACCTCTGAATTTCCAGAAGTTGATTTCCCATACTCTTATACACAAAAGTTGCATTTGATTCTCTACCACGAACGCCGTAACTTTGATTAGTTTACTTTCTTAACACACTGGAAAAAAAAAGATAAAAAGCTTATTTTGACTCAGCGACTGATACATTTACGCAGAACACTTGCTTTAGGTCAGAAAATAAGGCCTTATGATGACATGTTCCTGTTTAGGCCAAAATAAAACCACTGAATATTATCACTGTAATTAAAAAATTTCAAAATCTTTGGAACAAGGAGGGAAATATTCCTTTGTGATTTACCTGTGTAAAAATGTGTGAATTGTGTTGTTTAACTTGTTTTACAAGGATTTCCAGCCCTGCGAAAAACCGTTTTTGAACACGTGTAAAATTGTGTGAATTCCAGCGTCGTGATATGGACGACGTAATGTTTGAAATCATTTTTGACCCTTTCACTGAAATTAAATTGTTGGTGTACGATCTTTTCAGTCGGAAGTCTTCAGCAATCTTTGGTTGTAATCGAAAATCGTCGGTAATCTTCGGAAAATTTCATATTCGGAAACGTTCATGTGGCCTTAGAACAACTTTTGGAGAATATTCGGAGATCTACAAAAAGTGGTTAGAAACAGTCGAAAAATCGTCAGAAACGTCGTTATGAGTATGTTTATATTGGTAATAAGCAAAATAATAAATGGTTACCTTTAGATATGGAATTCCTCTTCTCGGGTCAACTAAATATCTCACTCAATCACTGTGTTCACTCGTGCGATGATATCGAGTTGAACACTCGTAGATAAATTCCATGGCCATATCTACGCCCGTCCATGAATTATTCTCTGTATCGTCTTCTTTCCTTGTTAGTTGCACAAACAATCTGTGATACTGATAAGCCATGTTTGAATGGTGGATATTGTTCAAGTAATACAAGCAGCCCGACACACTACACTTGTGACTGTGGAGATTGGTTTAGCGGCACAAATTGTGAAGGTATTATCATTTTTTACTTGCTGAGTTTCGTTCCTGAGCGCCTTTAGTTCTCTTTAATAAACTCTCTAAAAATCATCCTTTATGACCAGTGGCAAACAACTGGCTCAACCACGCTTGCTCCAAGCTCTGTGGTTATAGACCCGTCAGCATAATTCATCTTCTCCGCTCAGTTATGATCCCTTCAAAATACTGTGGATTTCCTCTCCCTCTTCCACAATCTCCTCGATCATTATTTCTTCACGTAACTTTGTTGTTTAAAAAGAAACAATCCTTTGAAATGCCCCTCCCCCCCCCCCAGTTAATCATCCATGAACTTCAAGTCGTGTATTGCGCACATTAGTTGCAAACTCAGTGCCAGCTCTGAAGAAGTAAATCCACGAAAGGCAGTTTTAACTTCATGAAGTGCACTTTATTTTGTGTTTTCAGTTCAACACTACCCTTGTGATAGTAAGCCTTGTGTTAATGGAGCCACCTGTAGTAATGATAAAGAAGATGTTTCATTATATCACTGCCATTGCACTGACGACTACAGTGGTAAAAACTGTCAAGGTACGAAATGCATGTTATTTTTTTCTGTCATCTTTTCTTTTATTACACTTTTCAAGCTTCCATAACAATGAAATATTTTTATCTTTACTTTCCCAGTGCCCTCTTTCAACACAATCGCTTGTTTTGAAACATCAAGCAGTTTACTACCCGATGTACTCGGTAATTTTAAGGACTCCGTCAAAGAAAATAAAATTCAACAGGCTATCAGTGCATGCGCCGAGTTGGCCTTTGATAAGAGCTACAAGTTCTTCGCTCTTGGATATCATGGTATATGTCGGTCAGGGCCGAATGCACGACAGCAGTATCACAGCAAACGCTCCCTTAGTGATAAGAACTGTCCGAATGGCATCGGTATCGACAAACGTATTGAGGTCTACACTTTTGGTAAGTTCACTCTTGGTAGCATTTCTTAAAAGCATTGGCAATTTAGTTGATGCCACACCATGATGGAGAGAACTTTTCTATCCATTTCCTGCTCTTTGATCCCTATTTAGACGGTAAGAGAAATAGAGAAATTCAGTACAGATATATCTTCATAGTTAATTGAGGTGAGATGTAGTCAAGCAGAAAAACGTTGCTCTTGACGACATCAAACAAGCCTGATACGCCGGTGAGGTGAACCGAACAAAATATGATTAGGTATTTACTGTACACAAATTCGACTATCAAAATCGGCATCATATCAAGTCTGTGACTTGATATCGCAGGATTTCAGGACAGTAGGCACACCTACTAATGACCAGTTTCGAATTTGGGTACACCAAAAGTACGAGCCATGGTTCGAGTTTTGACCATAGCCAAAGGTAATAAAGGACATTAGACACGGCTTCTGATTAGTTGATTACGAATTTGGGTTGAGTATTGAATCACAGAAAATTGAGGCCTATCGTCTCTGTGTTTCTTCCTCCCCTAGAACTTCTTCCAGCTGTTAATCCTCTGGGGTGTTTTCTGGAGAAAAAAAATAACCGACTACTTAACAAGAAGTTCGAGAGTTTCACAAGCTCCTACAACGCGTCAGATCCACACGCGACGGTAGTCAAATGTGCGCACCTCGCGCGCGACATGGACTACGAATACTTTGCCGTTCAGAACCTTGGTGAGTGTTGGACAGATACAAAAATAGTTGACAGCTATGACAAGTATGGGAAGGCCCTTCCAGGAAAGTGTGTTGGAGGGGTGGGTGCATCCTACACTAACTTCATGTATCGACTGAGACCTGCATTTACTGGTCCAAACGTGTGCGACACTTCACCGTGCAAGAACGGAGGAACATGTGTGGTGCATTTTAACGATCCTGATAGATACTACTGTGAGTGCGGCGACTGGTTCATTGGAGATAACTGTGAAGGTAGGTAAAAAGCTATTGTTTTTGTAACAAATTCAATTTATTGGTTAAATTGATTGTTTTTCTTCCTTGAAAGTGCAGGAAGTCTTTTTGAGACAAAAACATTTTATTGTTAATAGCTAATTAGGCTGACTAAGTTTCTTTATGCACACTGAAAACAGAGATCTTTGGATTACAAACCAATAAGTCAGGGCATGATACAGATTTTGCTGACAGTACAATGTACTGCAAGAGATTCACAACATGCTTCCTTCAACAATATGAGCATATTTTTTTTATCTTTTGCAGTTCAAATCTACCCATGTGACAGCAATCCCTGCCAAAATGGCGCCACTTGCAAAAATGACGCTGACGATATATCCAAATACAAGTGTGAATGCCGAGACTGGTTCACTGGGATAAATTGTGAAGGTAATCAATCAAACAAAAACAACATAATGTAACAATGAGTAGAAAGAAAGTGGTAATGATCTGATTTCACGACATGGAATCTTTAGTATTAGTTGCCCGTAACATCATTAATGTCATTTGTCTTTCATTATTGACTTTACTAGCATTATACCCGAATGTCTGACGGAATAAATCATTAATCACTTAACTCGAAAATTATTTAACATAAATCGCAAGATTTATAATTTTCTTCGACATAACGTCTGAATGCACACAAATTGATTATTCCCCTCATTTTTACGAACAAGAAGTGAATATTCCCAATGTTTGCTAAGCCTTCCACTAAATATTCAGAGGTGAATATAAAGAACCAAAAAATACCGCACTAAAACATAAAAATAATGGACAGAGTCGTTCGCTGCATACACGTATGTGGAGGTAGTTTTAATAATAGTACCGGTATCGATTGCCATGTTAATTAATTGACAGGCCGATTCAGGTTGAATTGTAAAATAAACGAAAGAAACAGTAGGAAAAAGAAATTCACCCAGTACCTTTGTTCATCGTTGTTTACTAAAATGAGTCTAAAAATGAGTTGTTTCAGTTTGAAGAAAAATAAATGTCGGCCGGTCGACACGGTTTGTAATGGCTGTCGATTTACGAAATCACAACGTTTACCATTCTCAAAAGCCTTGAATACCAATACTTAAAAACATTTTTGGCCCAAAACCACTGGTAATCTTTTTTTTTCTTTTTTAATTTCAAATGATTTCAATGTCCTAGACTTGGTGCCATGTCTTTCTAATAAACGAAAATTTCATTCAGCAACTTCCGCCATGCTTACTTCTAGATGGCAAAACAGGCGCAGCTTAGTTATATTCACCCAGCGAGGTGAAGATAGCGTCAGACGCCGAAATTTTCGACAGAAAGTCTTCTTCTTGAGTTCGCCTCTGAAAATTGTGCTAAAAGTAGCATGTTCCCGTTCCGGTCAAAAAACCCTGAATACTGACAACATTAAAAGATGTCAATGAACGAAGCAATTACAAAACTATGTAACCTTCTGTTTTCCCTGTTAGTTGCCCAAACAATCTGCGATACTGATAACCCATGTTTGAATGGTGGACATTGTTCAAGTAATACAAGCAGCCCGACACACTACACATGTGATTGTGGAGATTGGTTTAAAGGCACAAATTGTGAAGGTATCTCTCTTTTTGCTTACTGAGTTTCGATCCTTGCCGTAGTTAGTTCCTTTTGAAAGGTAGCGAACCGAATAGTTGAAGCTATCAGCTCTCTGAAAATCACATCATCATCATCATTTATTTACCACGTAAACAATCACAAAAGATATTGACAATACTCAAAAAGCTGCGAGGAGACCTCCAAAAAAACCCACCAAGCTTATAACGGAGGCCACCTCAGAAGTTAATATATTGATAACTTTAAGTTCTGCGGGCGCGGCATGACCAATTCACTGTTTTGTAAATAAAAATCAGCCATCAAGACTAGTGAGAAAACTAATGGCTCTAACCCTAATCCCTAACGCAAGATGGTTATAGACTCCGTCAGAATAAGCATTTCCGTCCTGTTAGTTATGGTACCCCTAACACACTACACATCGCCTTAGCTTCTTCCCATTATTATCATTGTCATTGTCATTATTTACAAGAATAGCAGGCACTAGTTGATCATCATGAAACAGACAGCTGACAAGCAGGACACATGATTAGGAGTGCAGGGCGTCCAGAGGGGTGCTCGTGACGTGATAATCCCTTGGGGAGTGACGTCATTCCTCCCTTTGGAAGATGACATCATCGGGATGGAGGGGCGTATGGAGAGGTGCTAGGGTGTTGATGATATATATTTTTTTTTTACCGTGGAGTGAAGTAATTCCCTCGACATTATAGGGAAAAGAGGCTAAAAATTAAATAGATTGGACGATATCTATCATCCATGAACTTCAAGTCCTCTATTCGTCAGTTTTAAAAATTCATAACGTGCACCACTTTTGTGTTTTCAGTTCAAATCTACCCTTGTGACAGTAAGCCGTGTATTAATGGAGCCACCTGTAGTAATGATGACCAAGATGTTTCATTATATCACTGCCACTGCACTGAAGGCTACATTGGTAAAAACTGTCAAGGTACTCAAAAAGATAACAGCCACAAAGTAGAGAGACTTGAAATAGTTAAGATGCTATGTTCTCTTAGCCACTGTTCCTGGTAACCTCCCATATACTTGCTGAGAACCTCCTCGCTGTCTTGAAATATCTCATTTCTGTGGTTCATTTTGTTGTTAAAACAACCCTTTTGAAATGTTTGTAAAAGATTCCAAATCTCTGAAAAGTTGATCGACGAAGGCCCCGTCCACAAGTATCGGGATATTTTTGAATCCGCAACTTTTTCTTTCCGGATCCGGCTTCCGTCCAGACGCATACGGCGAATTCGGCAGCGAATCCGGATATTTTTGAATCCGCTCTCCATAGCGGAAAAAAATAAATCTGCAACGAATCCGATAACGTGTGGACGGTGAATCCGGATATTTTCGAATCCGATTACGCAGCAGAACTGCGTCCAGTCTCTTCCCGAACAATAAACCAATATGGCGGCACAACGTGTAGGCCTAGTTTCTCTATAGTGAATCCGGATACAATAGGATACGTGTGGACAGGCGAATTCGATTTGAATGCGCTATATGTGGACGGGAAAAGTGTTGAATCCGGAAAGAAAAAGTTGCGGATTCAAAAGTATCCGGATGCGTGTGGATGGGGCCTAAATATTGTCTAGGTTGCAACACTGTCGGGAGGCGGGGGGAGGGGTAATCAACAAAGGAAAACCTCTTTTCACACTCACTGAAAACTATTAATAATAACCTCTTAATGGCTGGTCGCAGGGGAAACAGTGAGTTTTGTTTCGTTGAGACAATACTCGTTATAAACCTACACTAAATAGACGAATCTCAAGCGAGAATCAAAAAGTACAACGAAGAAAATAAAAAAATAAACGACGTCAGAAGCAATCGGACAAGATCAGCGTATTCAAAACTGAACTCAGTAAGTGATAATGCTTGAATCTATCAAGCAAAAACTATTTGTTACTAATGAGGCAAACGCATAAAGACTTTCTCCACTTTATTATATCTCTCAGTTAGTACGCGCGCTGTGATTGGCCAATTTAGCGGGTCGTATTCTATTATACGGCCCGCTAACATTTAAAGCTGCTTTAGTTGCCAAAATGTTTCGGGACTTATCGCCAGAGTGTTGTTTACTTTTATAGCAAGTAAAAGTTTAAAACTTTCTTTTTTTTCTGCAACTGTGTACTAAAACGAGTTAAGAGTCTAACGACGATTTCAAATTGACTCGTTTTGCTTTCGAGGTGATTCAGAAATTTGAACCCGTTCCGCGTGAATAGAAATTGTTCCCGAACCCGGCAGACACAGAACAGAGATATCACAAATATCTTACTAACCTCGTCTTCTCGTTCCTTACTGTAAGTTACGGATCCTCGTTTTCTCCCCCTGGATTTATGGCCCGCGGGCTTCGCACTTAAGCCATAAATCCATGGGGAAAAAACTCTGTCCTTAACTTACAGTACGGCGCTCGAACTAGGTTAGTAAGAGGTGTGTATTGTCACATTGAAGCAATCTTGAAGAATACAATCAAGTTTTATTTTTCATTTTTTTACAACGAAATATTTCCCTCTTTACTTTCTCAAGCCATTAAAACTTTACTGTTCCAAGCCATTCATAAAATTCCTTTACTTGTTCGGTATGGCATGGTATCGACAATTTGGGGAGTACAAAATGGATATGCATATGAAGGTCGCAAAAATTAGAGGGTAACCAAGGAGGTATGTGCCTTTTTTACACTGTCAAAAACCATAAGAGAGTCGCCGTAAACCTATAATAATTACATGCAGGTATTTTAGGATTGCACGATGTTTTCTTTTTCATCTTAACATACATTCCACTCGTCTAACCATGAATTATTTCCTCTTTACTTTCGCAGTGCCTTCTTTCAGTAAAATCGCTTGTTTTGAAACATCAAGCAAATTACTACCCGATGTACTCGGTGATTTCAGGAATCTTGTCAAAGACAATAAGATTCAACAGACTATCAGTGCATGCGCCGAGTTGGCCTTTGATAAGAGCTACAAGTTCTTCGCTCTTGGATATCATGGTATATGTCGGTCGGGACCGAATGCACGGCAACAGTATTACAGCAAACGCTCCGTTAGTGATGAGAACTGTCCGAATGGCATCGGTATCGACAAACGTATTGAGGTCTACACTTTTGGTAAGTTCAAACACGCGAACATCTCTTAAAAATAAGCTCTTGATGAAAATAATTAATAATTAATTAATAAGAAAGAAGTTTTCAGTCTAATTCTCTATTAAGATGTAAAGAAAATAAAGAAATTTAGTACAGAAATATTTTTATTGTTTACCGTTCGGCAGCACGTCAGGCGAGTTAAATTTGGTAAAGTTTTATTCGAGTTTTGGCGAATCGTAGTCGAGAAAAAATATCCTTGATCGTCATGACACCAAACAAGCCTGGTATGTCGGAAAGGTGTACCAGAGAAGGTAAGATAAGATATTCACTGCACCCACCCACAAATTCCAGTGCCATATCAGGTCAGATATCGCAAGAATGCAGCACAGTAAGCAAAGTTTCTGATTGCTGATTACGAATTTGGGTACAGTAATTTATCATGCCAAATTGAAGCCTATTGAATTTGCGTTTTTTTTTTTTTCTTTCTTTAGAAATTCTTCCCAATGTGAATCCCCTGGGATGTTTTATAGAGAAAAAAAATAACCGAGTACTTAAGATCAAGTTCGGGAGTTTTGCGAGCTCGTACAACGCGTCAAATCCACACGCGACAGTAGTCAAATGTGCGCACCTCGCGCGCGACAAGGACTACGAATACTTTGCCGTTCAGGACTTTGGTGACTGTTGGACAGATACAAAAATAGTTGACAGCTATGACAAGTATGGGAAGGCCCTTCCAGGAAAGTGTGTGGGAGGGGTGGGTGCATCCTATACCAACTTTGTGTATCGACTGAGGCCTGCATCCTCTGACCAAAACGTGTGCGACACTTCACCGTGCAAGAACGGAGGAACATGTGTGGTGCATTTCAACGATCCTGACAGATACTACTGTGAGTGCGGCGACTGGTTCACTGGAGATAATTGTGATGGTAGGTAAAAAGCTGTTGTTTTGCAGCATGTCGACATTAACTACTTACTGTCTATGCTGTTGGTATCTGCTGTTTATGCTTTGTGGAAGAAAGCTCTGTTCGGTGAAAACTATATTTAAATAATTTAGAATGCAGGTAGTAATTTCTACACTTGCCAAAACCTTTTTATTTTCAATAGCTAACTAACTCTGGGTTAGCATTTGTAATGCACAAAGCTCAGACCGAAATTGCTATAAAATCAATGTAATGAGCTAAAGCTTACACTAGCAAAGGACATCTTTTGATAATATGCCGATAAGTTAAGCCATGATGCAGATTCTGGTGGTGTAGAAATTTACAACTCGGTTCTTTTATATACCTCCCTTCCCCCCTCACCACCTCCACAGTATGAGCAATTAATTATTATTGATGAGCCGGTTTTTCTTTCATTATTTGCAGTTCAAATCTACCCATGTGACAGCAATCCCTGCCAAAATGGCGCCACTTGTAATAATGATGCTAACGGCATTTCCAAATACAAGTGTCAGTGTAAAGACTGGTTTACTGGGATAAACTGTGAAGGTAAAAAAAAAAATTAATACAATATCTGAATGTCCAAATGATATTTGTCACGAATCTTTTTTTCAAGAACACAAATTGCCTAGAATTCACTATCACCAAGGCCGCAAGTTTCATTACATAGTACATTACAGTAAGACTTTGAAACTTATTTCCCAAACCAATGATAAAGTAATGCAGAAAACCTGTTTAACATCTGACAGTAAGGCCGTGTAACGACATTTTCCTGTTCAGGCCAAAATAAAACAAGCAAATACTAAACAATAACTCTGAAACATCGAGTATTAAAACTGTCAAAAAACGTGAACAAACTATTCCGTCTTAATAATTTTAACCCGTTTAAGAATGTTATCTTTTGATTTCCCTATTAGTTGCTCAAACAATCTGCGATACTGATAAGCCATGTTTGAACGGTGGATATTGTTCAAGTAGTACTAGCAGCCCGACACACTACACTTGTGACTGTGGAAATTGGTTTAAAGGCATAAATTGTGAAGGTATTGTGTTTCTTTTTCTCATTTACTGAAGTTCAATCAAGACCGCAGTTAGTTCCGTTTGGAAGATTTTAGACACATTGCAGGTTTACCTATGACCCGCACCCTTAAAATCAAGCAATAAAACCAGTGAAACAGCACTTGGTTTTATCGCACTTTGCACCACCCTCCTGGTACCTCTCAGTTTTACCTTCATAACGTTCACCTCTTTTGTGTTTTCAGTTCAAATCTACCCTTGTGACAGTAAGCCTTGTATTAACGGAGCCTCCTGTAGTAATGATGACCAAGATGTTTCATTATATCACTGCCACTGCAATGACGACTACAGTGGTAAAAACTGTCAAGGTACGAAATTTTTTACGCCTGGAGAATGGTCAAAAGAAAACATCGATAATATTTTATGCGAATATTAAATAATTACGAGCACTGTACTTTCAAATAACAATAACAACGTTTTATTTACTCTAGACACTCAATACACATTTGCAAAGACTACTATGCTTTTTTCACAATAAAATGTGCATTCCTGTGGTTTATTTTGTCACCGTAACAGCCTGTTTGAACTGAATGTAAAACAATCATAGTGTTTGAAAATCTTTTGAAATTGTGATCTGTAGTAGTCGTCGATTGAAGAGTTAACTTGGACAACGTCATCAACCAGCGAGAACGTTATTGCTTCTTAATATGTTTGAGCGGAGGTATAGGGATGGGTACCCGGGGATGGCTAGCGGTTGGCAGAGACTATAAGTATTTCATAGGCCGCAGCATTGTTAATAATGGGTAACATGGGTGGAATATGCTGATTTCACTATACTATAATTGATAGCCGTCATAAAACTAAAGATCTATAAAGCTATATCGAAAACTGTAAACAATGAGCGAAGAGAGAAGGAAGCGTTTTATTTTTAAATCACTGTATCTACTAACGTTTGAGAGTATAAGGCAAGGTTTTATCAATAACTTACTTTATAATGAAGCATAGGCATAAAGAATTTCTCAACTCTGATCGTGAAACTAATATATGATGTATTTATAAGTTTTAAAATACAGTCAGTTTTTTTCCTAAATCTCAACAATTTTTTTTTCATAACCCATCAAGCCTAAATAGCTAATGATTTATGCTGTTTTCGATGGTTTGATAATATACTAATGCTTGCTATATTCCCTGTCATCTGTCCCCTAATTATATTTTCCACTCTACCAACGATGAATATTTTCCCCCTTACTATAAACCTATAATAATTACATGCAGTTATTTTAAGATTGCGTGATGTTTTCTTTTTCATCTTAACATACATTCCACTCGTCTAACCATGAATTATTTCCTCTCTACTTTCGCAGTGCCTTCTTTCAGTAAAATCGCCTGTTTTGAAACATCAAGCAAATTACTACCCGATGTACTCGGAGATTTCAGGGACCTCGTCAAAGACAATAAATTTCAACAGGCTATCAGCACATGTGCTGAGTTGGCGTATGATAAAAGCTACAAGTTCTTCGCTCTTGGATATCATGGTATATGTCGGTCAGGGCCGATTGCACGGCAACAGTATCACAGCAAATGCTCCGTTAGTGATAAGAACTGTCCGAATGGCATCGGTATCGACAAACGTATTGAAGTCTACACTTTTGGTAAGTTCTCTCTTTTGAATTGTTGTCATAGCATGGTAATTGAAAACAAACTAATTAGCAAAACAATCTCTACAACAGAGCAATTATTATGTTGGAAGTGTCTAAATGTAATCGCATATAGGAGAAGTGGGGTGGGGAAGGGGCTATTTTCAAAAGAGTTTTTTTTCTGGGTGGGTTTATAGTTGTCTCAACAAATGTGTTTTTGTTTTTTTCGATTTGTAATCAAATACCTTTATATGAGTCATTGTTTTCTCTCTACAGAACTCCTTCCGAAACTGAATACCTTGGGATGTTTTGTGGAAAAGAAACGAAAATTGCGACTACTCAACATCAAGTTCGGGAGTTTTGCGAGCTCGTACAGCCCGTCAGATCCACACGCGACGGTAGTCAAATGCGCGCACCTCGCGCGCGACATGGACTACGAATACTTCGCCGTTCAGAACCTTGGTGACTGCTGGACGGATAAAGAAATAGTTGACAACTATGACAAGCATGGGAAGGCCCTTCCACAAAACTGCGTGGGAGGGGTGGGCGCATCGTACACCAACTTCGTATATCGAAGAAGGCCGGAGTCTTCAGTGAGTACTTCAAGAAGCCACATTTGAGTTTTAATGTCTTGATTTCTGGAAATCACTGGAAAACTCGTTTTCCTGTGTAAATTGGGGGACTCAAAATTACAAAAATAAGGATTACCCTACCCAAGACAACACAATTAAGCTAGAATATATTACCAGGACAGCAGTGGCAACAGTCGCAAACTAATAAACAACAACAATAACAACAACAATAATAATAACAATAGTAATAATAATAACAATAATTATAATATTTTTAAAATGATATTAATTTTATTATCTTAAGGTTTGTTTGTTTCTCTCAGGTGCAGTAAAGAAGTAAACTTACGATGACAAAGTATACGATAGCTCTGATATCAATTGATAGAACACTATTGACCTTCATTACATTGAGAATTAGTTTAAACGGACGGAAAACGTATAAACTTGTATTAAGGGAAATTAAAACAAATAAAATGTAACACAATGCTGTTGAATGAGATAATTATTTTTCGAGAAACGGGATGGATTAATTCTTCCTGGGAGGTACTCCCTAAAGTCATTGATGGGGGTGCGCGGCCCTTGTAACCTGTACCTTATTTCAGATCAAAATCTGTGATTTTCCATACGCTACTTCAGAACTGAGCGAAAACTCGGTACCCCGTTTCATACCTTTAAAATTAGTACGGGTCTCTAATATACGACCACAGCTAACCAGAATTGGTTTCTATCTGCGTAAATATTTGAGAAACGTTACAAATTTGCCTATAGAGAAAAGTCTCTACACGAGCCAAGTGGCCCATCAGGCCGGAGCTTATCCCGGTTTCCGTCGCATAAAGCGACTAGGAGTATTTCTGCTCCCCCTGGATGAGATGCTAGTCCATCGCAGGGTTACCCTCAGCATTAAGTTCGCCGGTACTCATTTATACACCTGGGTAGAGTGAGGCACTGTAAAAGTAAAGAGTCTTGCCCAAGTACACAACACAATGTCCCCGGCCAGGGCTCGAACCGGGACAAATTTGCCTATAGTGATGCAAAAAATACAGTTCCTTGTAAATGAAATACCCAAGGCTAAGCCACAATGAAAATGATACTTACCGTAGTTTAGAAAAAAAGGTAAAAATGTATACCTTTTTAAGACCAAAACCGCTCAAAAATCATACTCTTTGGGGCCCCACATACCTATATGGCCTATGTAAGGGAGTACTTCTACCCCCGCCGGGTTAAAACCCGTACTCGGGGTGGCTTTATGTATTTGCAACATTCCTTCTTTTCACATGTAGAGCTCCGTATTCAAGACGTTCTTAAATAATTACTAGGTATCCTTTAAAATTTGGAAGTCGAAAAGATAGCAAGAGATTTGCGAGCATGAGTACCCCGTGATAAACGACATCTGATGGGTTTCAATTCAATAAAGATCGTAACCGGATTCACTTATCGCAAAAGGTCTATTAGTCACTGCAGGATACGAGTTATTACCGTTGGAAATAACAGAGTTTTTTTTTTTATTTCTATATAGAGACGTCGCCATTTGACCTAGTCTATAAATCCGATGTTAAAACTTTCGGAGCACTCAGGGAGTTTCCAAGTGTACTGAATCTAATAACGTAGCCTATGCCTTAATGTTATTTGGTTATTTATCTGTTTATTTGACAAAGCGCACACCATAGAGATTTCATTTTATTATGATATTTTCTACACCTTGGCTATTTGCCCACGATCTCTACTAACTAAAGCAATTTACCTACACCTGTTTAAAAAAATATATTTTTTGATTCATCCTTGTTAATCTGCAGCTCTCAGCTCATATCATTCCTAGGGCAAGGGGCATCGTTTGTGCTTTTATTTGTTGTTTTGTTTGGCCGATCACAAAGACCCTTCTAACCCGGTCAGGTCGCCGCCCCAACTCAACACAAAATAGAGGGTCTGTGCCACACTCTTATTATGCAAAATTTTCAGAAGTAATTTAAATAAACTAAAAATGAACACGCTGCATCGCTTCGCTTCCTCAAGGCTGTACTATCGACATGGCGTGTCAGAACCTAGGCAGTGAGTATACCAAGCCAGCTTATGCGTTTTGAAAAAGAAATTTGAGATAAGACTGTTGCATTAGTCAAGCCGCCTTTTGATAAACGCACGAATAAGGGTTTCAATGCTTTATAATTTGGACAGAAATTTTCTTGTGTGAATAATGTTGTAAAGTTAAAAAATAATACTACTCCATCTAACTTCTAAACTTGAATGCACATAGTAAACTTTTAATCAGCTAAACCTTAAGGTCTCTGGCTTCATCATCCGAAGAAACACCTATAGTTCCACCCCTAATCATGTTAGAAAATTCGTCGGAAAAGGATCTCTATTATATAATATGATTGTTTCCGTACGCTGTTGCCGGTCTCGCCACTGGTATAAGTAACCAAATATATGTATCAATTCAACATTGAATTTAAACTTTAAGTATTTCGCCTTTTTAGTGACTCCGCCGTGATACAAACGTTTAACCCTTCCTGTATCTCCAAATCATTCTGCAGTTTTTGAAAGTATCTTACTCGATCGAGAATCCTTTAAAGCAACACAGGTTTTCCTTGGAATAGTCTGGCAATTAGGACCTTTCTCTTAAATTTGAAGTCTTAGGCGTATCTCAATTAACACTTCACGGCTGGCCACAAGGTAAACATTGTTTTTTTATTTCTCAAGGATCTCGATGGAAAGAAAATCAACTGGTTTCCATAAAGGATTACTGTTTAAGTGATTTATGCGTAACAGTATGCTTTTACACTCTGGCGTCATAGATTCTGCATGTTTCCGCTCAAAGACTTTTTGGGAAGAAACAGTTTGATTGTTAGATGTCATGTGATGTTGAATTACAGCGTGCGTTGTAGAGAAAACATAATAACAAGGATAAGGATGTATTTGATTTTAATGGTAATATTTAATAGACAGCTAGCTTAACAAACGGGGGAGATAATATATCATACTTGTTTTCATTTTATTTGGACACCTGTTTCAAAACAAAGCACACTAGGGCGTCGTCTGCCATAGTTCTTTCATCTTAAATTAAAACTGGGCATGGCAGACTATTCCACAGCTTAATTTCTTTGCTTTTTTTATCCTCGCTATCAGAGATGTTATTACTAAATTAACATATAAATTTCGTCCAAGCCGTTACTAAAGTTTATTGTCTTTTTTATCTACTCTGCTCTGTAACTGCACGAAACACTTAAGTAGTCACTTCTGTTATTTACTCCATTTTTCCATCCATATCACTATCACAAGAAAATCTTTTGCAACTGAGTGAAATGAGCTCGTCGACGATATATCAATGAGATACTTATTTACATTTTGCTTTTTGATTGAACTTTTTTTTAATTCAATAGTACCATATTAGCAGGAGTAGCTCCCTTAACGGTTTTAAAATAAGGTTTAAGACTCCCATTAGCGCAGTGCACCACAACATTTGAAATTGAAATGTAACTGTATGTTTTAAAAGGCTTGGTGTTTATGAGAGCTTTCATCTAAGGAAAAAAATAGAAATTTATCAAAACACTAAAAGCATGTGTTCGTCTATTATGATCGTCCGGGTGAGGATAGTCCTGAAAAGGATCTCAGCAGGCTATTTATCTCACCAGGATCACGGTGGAACTTATCACCGATAATGACAGTCCTTTTCAGATTTACGCCACCCCGAAAATCACACTACAGACACTAACTAACCACTGATACTCCTAAACACTCTTTGTAAACATGTAGACTCTTATTCTGAGTCTCTCTCATCCGCAGACTGAAAATTTTATTTATCTGAGACTAAATATATTGTTACTTCATTCTTGGATCTCAGAATATAGTATAATCATATGCCAATCTAGTAAACACATGTAACCGTGATAAAGAATACGTATTTGAAATACTTTTCAATGATTTTATTGCATGAAATAAAGTTCTATCAAAGTTCAAACAAGAGTTATTACAAGTGTCATTTTGCCGATCTCAGTTTCAATATCCTTATAAAAAAAATTTTACAAACCAAAAAAAGAAGAGTGTACAGTAGGTTACATCTGAAGAAACTGTTTTTCCGAAGGCGGGATCCTTAATAATTAACTATTTTCACGACTGCAGATACATGTATTCGATTTCATTGTAATATAGTCGTTTTGCCATAATGTATGCCAAAAGCAAATCAGAATATGATTGCTTCTGCATATGCGCCGACCTGTACTTTTGTAAGTATTTAATTAAATATTAATAGCGAAATAATATTATGGGGATCTTTTTAAAAAATCTCAACTGAGCTTGCTGGATCTCCTGCCTTATCAAGTATTATCTGATTGTATTGTAAATGATTGTAATGTAAATGATTGTAATGAATGATAGAAGGCGAATAAAGGAATAAGTAAACTAGCAGCAAATAGAGCGGTTATTATGGTTTCAGTTTTTCCTCATCTTTGCGTTAACCAAGCATGCGGCTAAATGCTATGATAGCCGTCGCAATACACGGAGCAAGTTTAATGAGACACCGTGCACGAAGTGCGTTCGCGCGATTAATCCAGCAAAACGTCAGTTTTT